AGCTCGCAGATGAAACCATCGGGGCAGCGGGTCCCCATGGTTTGCCATTTTGAAGTCTCCCCGGTGTCTGGATTGCGAGCTCTCTTTCTTTTTTTATGGTTGATCGTTCGATTTGCGGCTTTCCTCGGTGACATCACATCCTCACCGGTACCTTCGGGCTCCTCGAAAGGCTGCGTCCACACCTGGTTTTCATTTGTCTCACCGATATTCATTTGGTCTTGGTGCATTCTCAACATGTGCTTTTTGAGGGACTGATTAACGCGGAATTTCTTTGGGCACCCGCTGCAAATGTATGGCCTCTCTCCAGTGTGAACACGCACGTGCTCCTTCAGCCTCCCACTGCTACGAAACATCTTGTTGCAATGCAGACAGCAGTGCTTTTTGGCGGACTCATCTTTCTGGAGAGACGATGCACTGTGGTCGTTGGAGGAAGGTCTGCTTTCCTTCTCATCAATCGCCTGTTTTTTGCTCGAGGCCGTCGGGGCTTCTTCGTCACAGGACTCAGGCTTTGGAGGGTTTGTGGACTGACCTTTTTTCTCCAACAATTTCTTGAGTTTACTGCAAAATGGTTTATGATACCTAAGAGCACTTGGAAAAGGGAACTCCTTTTTGCAACCTTTGCACTTCTTGTGTGATCGTACATGCACACTTCGGCCAAACATTGTATCAAATTCCTTCTTACAGAACTTGCACGAGTACCTTTTTTCACAGTCACTTTTCACCGTTTCGTTTTCTTGAGACTCAGCTGCTGTGATCTTTTTCCCCTCTCTTCTGCTCTTCATCGTACTCTCTTGCTCTTTTGCCGTTACGCGTTTCTTTCTTCTTCTAGGACCTGCGCCGCCTGCTGGGTCAGTATATTCCCGTTTGATGTCTTGGAGCAATTTCTTCATGTCGTTTCTCACCGGTGGACGTCGAGTCACTTGTTCCTTGTGTGTGTTGTGTGTGTGCCTCGCGTTTAATGAACAACCTGTGAATGAAAAACAATTAAACTGTGACCCAGTGAAAAGCAGATGTGACATGAATTTAAGACCCAAACTGTCTGTTATGTAACAAACGATTTACCTACAGTACAGACAGAGATGTTTGTATTCATCCCTTTCTGTCAACATACCAACACAATGGAAGGAAATGGGATTTGTAATGCTAAAACCTTTAAAAGATGACATTTAATGTCAACTACAGACACTGAACTAACGACAGCAACAATAGTTGGCTGCTGAAAGGAAACTTAGTGTCTTAGAAGGTAACCCACAAGTTGCGAAACTCTCCCGAGATGGATAAGGTCAGGCGTCCCACAGCAGCTGATATGAGACAGTCAGCTGCAGCAGAAGCTGACGTTTGCCAGCAGCAGGCTAACTGTAAGCACAAATTCAAAACCTGCGGGTCTGTTCTGGGTACAAACACCCCGACACTGGAACCATTTAGAAGCAATCTAAAAGAAAACTAAAATGACACTTTGCACTTGTAGAGAGCAGACAATGGTGCATACACAAGATCTTCGGATGGCCCCATTTCCTGAGTTGGGAAGTTGTCGTTCTGACGGCGATGTATTTATGAACTTTAAGTCATGATGAGGAACAACATGGACGTCACAAAGAAGATGTGTTGTATTTCATCGCTCAAACAACACGTTAGCTGCTTGTGAGTTGTTGTTTCGACTTAATGGGGCGTTCACACACATTTTCCCAGTCAGGAGCTAAGTTTTCAGATTATTCCCAAGCAGATGGGTTTTCTTGTTGAAATGCATCGTGATGCGTTGTTGTACGTGGGTTTTGGCTGGCAGCTGCTGTCCCCTCTTCCCGATGCTGCATACCAGGACGGGATGTTTTCGTGGTAAAGAGTACCGGATCGTACCGGCCTACTTTCCCCCCCCCCTGCTTGTGTCATCAACGTTTACGCATGTATAAAATAGCTTTCTGTGAATATGTGTAAATGAATGAATGTACAACGCAATGACAGAACTCATTCTGACAATAATAAATGTAATTTACAGCACAAAATAAAGAATGAAAGAATAAACTCACCTCTCCTGGATCTCCTGAGAACCTTTGTTTGCTGGTGGGTGCCAATGTCACAGTTAACAACCTGAAACAAACAACCCAAAGTTGGTTATCTTCAGTGATCAACAATGCCAAGTATGAAGAAAAAAGACCGAGACGTTCAATCATTTTGCCTAAATGTGAAGTGGATATTGTAGCTCTTTATAACCCAGCACAGCTGAGGAGAAGCTCGGGTAGACATTACTCTACTATATCTTTACACAGCAAATCATTGTTTGCTGCTATATGAATGCTCTGAATGTTAAATACAGCTCCTTTAGAATAAAATAAAAACATCACCCTATCTTTGAGGATCACAGATGGGGTGTGTTGCCTAACTGAATGGCAGTGTTCCAGGTTTCCCGCTGGGCTACACACCTCTTGCTTGATGATCGGAATGGGCCAGAGAGAAATGGACAGCCGGCGCAGTCTTACACTGGGACAAAAGACTTCTTCTTGCTTGGGCACGGTCTCGCAGCCCAGGGGAGCACACCAGTCATCAGGTACTGCACAGACACACAAACATGGTCAAGCTATAAGACATATAATGTTGGGATTCATTTGACTGAATGTTTAGACATGCGTACAGTTAAAAAGGCTTTCTCTGTGCTACCGAAGTTACCGTATTTCTCTCTATAATGTAGCTCTTATGTATATTTTCTCATGAGATGTCTTCCACGCAGCATATTGTGTCAGGTGATTCACCTCATTTGAACGCTATACCTTCAAAATCAATCTCAGGAACATCAGAAGTTTGTTCGGGGCCGCTCGGGACGTCTTCGGGCTCTCGTTTCCTCGTCTCCGTTCCTCTGTCACCGCCGCGCTCAATTTCGGTCAGCTTGACCTCGGCTCTCTGCAACTTTATTTTAAGTTGGGCGACCTCCTCTCCTTTCTGCCCCAGCTCCATTTGATGGTCACGGAGACTGTTCTCAAAGAGCATCATTACTTCAAACACGGCTCTCCTCAGGACCGAGTCCATGCTCGTGGTCAGCTGGGCCCGGAACGCTCTGGTCAGAAAGTCAGACATCTTTGAAGATGGGTGGGAGCAGCTTACAGATGTTTCAGATCGAGGAGTACTGGTCCCTTCCCACCACCACGTGACCCTAAAGAGAGAGGTTAGAGATCAGTTTAGGTGTGTTTTCTAAACCCAGGAAGAGGGACGCTCTCCTTTCCCATCAACCCACCTAACTGCCTCATAGCCTTCACATTGTTTCAAGCATATGACGATGGACCTCTGATGTTTTGACTTGAGGACAAAGTGGGTCATTCACCAGCAACAACACAGACTGTAAGACTGTTTGGACGTCAACAATCACAAAGTGGCATTAGGCATGAGCATCGGGATTTAGCGCCAAGAGGTGCCAGCCATTAAATGTCTACAAAACAACGTCACAATGAACAAATCCCCGGTAATGCTGGCTTCACAGCTAAACAATGAAACCTAGATGAATAACCTATACTCATCTTTCTGAATCACATCACGGTTAACGCTACCTATGCGCATTTAACAACGAACGTTTAATAGATTTCGCTTTCGACGACAGCGGTTCCTGCTAACGTTACGCACACACGATGACCATATTTAACACCAGGAGACATTGCGATGACAAAAACTGCAAACGTGCGTTGCAAGCTGAGAATATAGGTTGTATGGAGTCCACATGGCGGGACATTGACCATCTATGCGAAATATATACTGACCGCTCGGCACGAGGAGAGCTGCTGTCCTTCTACGACGATTAACTTCGTCCGAACCACAGAAACTACACCAACAGTTCAACAACTCCGTCCACATCTGGCACCTCAACGCGTTAGTCCGCCGCGTCTGTGTGTCGTTAGTTAGTCAACGTGTAGCCAACAGACCCGCTAACGTTAAAACTGTCCATACGCCATTTTCACCCGACATCCCCAAGAGGGAGGGAAAGGTTACGTCAGTACCACGTCACGGTTGCTATACTGCACCGGTTAGTACTTGTTGTACACGAGATAGTTGTTAGTAAAATGACGGTAATTTAAGTTATACAAACAAGTTGTAATAGATTACTCTCAAGTTTAAGGAAACTGATTCCATTGAAATAACTGATAAAAATACTTATATATATTTTTCAATTAAGAATAAATCAAAAGTTCATGGTGACAAGGTGGACACAAAATTACAAGGACATGCAATCTGTGTTGTTCAGACAGGATTACAAAAGGTTTGCATAGCTAATGCGTCCAACAGCGTGTTGATCATATTGTGTGCTCTGCTGCTAGAACTACTTTATGTCACACAATAACATGATTCATCCGCTCTATTATTCGATTAAAGCAATAAGATTAAAAAAGTTATGGTTTTTGTGTTGACTGCTAAACCCCACTGTGTAAAAGCAACCTGTACAATATGAGAATACAAATATATAACACCAAAAGGACATGAGGATAAAATGTCCCCCTTATCATAGGCATGCTAAGGCATAGTTTGTTTGCCTTTTTACTGTAAAAAACAAACAATTCTGACTTCCCCTCAAACAGCAAGAAATCAGTTATGCAAATTAATTTGAGTATTAAAATTAACATTCCCACAGGAACACCAGGCAAACAATAGTTTCACAACATCGGCGCACACTTGGTTCAATGTGGACAAGCAAAGGTCGATAGGTTATCAGTTGAGACAGATAGTTTCAAGTAAGCTGCAGAGTAGATAATTGACAGCTCTTTTTCACTCTTTTGGGCCAAAAGTAGGCTTTTCTGTAGGTAGTAGGTTTCTCTAATGTATTCCTTTATCTTATTTTTAATTGTTCACATGGTTCAGAGGCTCAGAGAGGTGGCAAGTTAAGATGAAGCCTGGTGTCGTGCTTGTAGGCATTGAAAAAGGTATATTCTTTTTCACTGGGTGTTTTTCTGGAGTTGAATTTAATAAAAAATGTGTTGTTTAGTATGTCTTTGTCAGACAGACAATCAAAGGACAACAGAGATTCATTTATGGTCTGCAGAGTTTTATTTATTGCAATTTCTGGAAAAAAGGATCAGTGCTAGACTAAATGGTCCAGCTAAGTGCTTATAAAATTGCCATACGGCATACTGGCCTTGCAATTACCAGGTATCTTTGCATCTTCACTTCACGGTCTGTTTTAACTATGCTCATACAAATAGGAAAATACTGGAATTATCTTCTATTTCAGTGGGTTAACCTCCTTCTCAGCCAATGGTAGTGCTGTTCCGGGCCACATTGACTGCATCCACATCAAAGAAGTTAATGTAAATCCTGAAACAGACACAAAGAGAAATAGGTTAATGAACATTAATGTAGAGCAAGTTATGTGAGGCACAGGGGTATTTGAGTCTGTGTGTTTCCATCACCATGTTATACTTTATTTATCACATGATGTGCAGTACATGTAGCGGTTGCTGTGTATTTGCTATACCTGTCAGGAGAGATGCCCAGGTGTTTGTTGAGCAGTCCACACAGCAGCTTAGAGTATTGCTTGTTGTAATCACCGTCTATCTTGCCAATACTGTGGAGGGAGCAGACTGCGCAGGGGTCTCCCTTTCCTCCAAACATCATTATTTGGTCAGAGATGACATGCACAGCAACTTTCTGGAATATGCAAGACACAAAACGGGGGTCAGGACTTCTGAAATAGTGAAGTCCCACTGCAAACCCAACCTGAAGACTTATTTACTTTAACTCTACAGTAGTATTTCCCTACAAAATGGTCTAAATGCTGATTAATATTATTCTGGTGGAGAGATGCTGAAATTATCTTGACATGTGTTACCTAAAAAGATCCAAATTTAACATACATTAAACATGAACCTTTTAGAATTAGCCTTTGATGAAGAATACACATTGTGGCCAGTCCAGATGTACTAACCGAATGACGCCTGGGTGTTACTTCAGGCCCCCTACTGTGCCACTGTGTGTCCTTCCTGCAGGTCTGAATGTGAATGCCCCTCTTCCTGCCCTTTGTCATAATCTCCCCCTTACCTCTGTTTCCTAGTATTTACATACAGTCTGAACACTGCTCTCGCTCCCTGTATTAAATGCTTCTGTCTTCATTTGTTCGGGGTCAACCTACCGGCTCAAATCTGCTCTGTGTCGGTGAGGTCACCAGTTTGCCGGTGTTACGTCCCTACTGGTTTCTGGACCTACTGGTTTCCCTTCCGTGCGTGTGTTGTGTTCGCTTAACAGCTGCAGCGGTTTTCTGCCTCTGTCGCCTGATTCGTCACACATTCACAAACATATTGCTGGAGATCTAAAAGACACATCTCATATCAATTGCAGGGATTACGATTGTATAAGTTAGCACTGCATCACAGCCACGTATGAAGAAATACATAGAAGAAAATACATTTATGCAAAGATCGCAACAACCTGGATTCGAACTCTGGCGAGTAAAACAGTAAAACTCCTTAAGGCGGTCGCGCTACGCGGTCCGCCACTTACTCTGACAGATGAAGTAGTCATTTATCCATTAGCTCATACCTGGTTACTGCCCAGGGAACGTTTTGGTTTAGGGTGAACTGAAACAACTGGTTTCCTTGGGCATCTATCCGAACACTTCCAAACATATTTATCAATGCTTTTTCGCGAGGCTTCGACCATACACCACCAACGCATTTTGACGCATTATACAGTGACGATCGTACTTTGAAAATACACTAAATAATTGCGAACTCTTGTCTCCGAAATCAACTTACTTTGTTGACAAATTCTTTGCCACGGTTGGTCAGATTGCCCAATGTGATGCCTGCCAGAAAAACAGGACCTCTGTGAGAAAATTCAGTATAACCCGTAGAGGTGAATAAACATTAAATTTAACATGTTGTATGAAGTCTTGTTGGTGTAAGCTTTGGTTTGCATTCTAGGGTGACTGAGCCCTTCAGATGGATCTAGCTGGCAAGCTGAAATGCACCAACAATGGTTACGTATGTGTGTGGACTACTTCACAAAGTGGCTAGAAGTCTACCCTCTAACAACTAAGAGAGCTGAAGTAGTGACATTGTGCATAATATATATGTTTTAAGCATGGCGCCCCAAAACGTATCCTGACCGACCGAACAAGAGTTCGCAATTATTTAGTGTATTTTCAAAGTACGATCGTCACTGTATAATCGTCACAAAAGTACATTTGTTTTTGTCAAAATGCGTTGGTGGTGTATGGACAAAGCCTCGCGAAAAAGCATTGATAAGGTTTTGTTCGAAGATACGCCCCAGGAAACCAGTTGTTTCAGGTCAACCTAAACCAAACCAAAACAAGTGGCGGACCGCGTAGCGCGACCGCCTTAAGAAGTTTTACTGTTTTACTCGCCAGGGTTCGAATCCAGGTTGTTGTGATCTTTGCATAAATGTATTTTCTTCTATGTATTTCTTCATACGTGGCTGTGATGCAGTGCTAACTTATACAATCGTAATCCCTGCAATTGATATGAGATGTGTCTTTTAGATCTCCAGCAATATGTTTGTGAATGTGTGACGAATCAGGCGACAGAGGCAGAAAACCGCTGCAGCTGTTAAGCGAACACAACACACGCACGGAAGGGAAACCAGTAGGTCCAGAAACCAGTAGGGACGTAACACCGGCATGCTATTATAAACTCACAACACCACAGCAACTTCTGAACTGGACTTGAATGATTTCTTCAACACCTTCAAAACTCACCATGTTAGAGAACTGCTTGCTAAAATCTCCCAATTACCAGAAACAGACAGTGGTAGCTACGCCCGACTTCAATTGAAACCTATATTTTAAATATTTAATTTATGGGCAGTCCATTTCCTTTTATGTTGTATATGTCAGGAAACATGTACCCATCAATGATACAAACTAAGTTTTGGTGGCAAAAAAATACACATTTTGAACTTTCTAAAAGGATTTTGCATTGAGTCGTATTTTTAATAAACGTAGTCAGCAGCAGTTTGTATGCCATGACAGAAGATATGCATTTAACCCGAGGGTTTATATTGTTACTGACGCTGCTGATCAATCATCTACTCATGCTATCTCTACAAACAACAGTCACGACGAAGTTTGCATACTTGCATAAGAAGCTAGCTTCAGACATAGACTCATGTAATGTATCATCTCTACTTTTAGCTGCAGTTAAATGGATATCAGGCTTCAGGAGTTGGTCTTATATCCCTCAGCAGAAAACGTTAACCCATCGAGCTGATTTATATGGGACATAATGAAGGCAGATAACCCTTTAGTTTCATAGTGAAGACATAGATCCTGCAGGGATCAGTGCGCCCCTGGCCCAACGTTACCTCTGCAGGTTTGCCCATAGCTTTGGCCAGCTCCTCGGTCACCTCGGACAGCAGAGCCGTCGGTACCTCGCCTTTGGCCACGTTGGTGTTCACCACGAACATCGGCATGATTGCTCCGTAAAAGTGTAGTCTCTCCCAGTTCTCTGCTGCCTACAGACGGAAGAAAAATACTTTTCTTCCTCCCTTGTAGAGCGTGCCACCATGTGAAAAACTGACCACAGCGCCTCCAGCCATCCTGGAAGACCCTTCTGTTGACACGCTAAACGAAACGCCAACCATGTGGAAGATACGTATTTTTTTTGTTATTTCCTAATGAAATAATGACATCAAATTGACAACAAAATAATGCAGGATATTTTGAAAAAAATGTTTTTGGGTGCGGTAGTTCTAGAGTGTAGGATAATTACGGTACTGGGCATGCGCAGTGTTCTCAAGCATCATTGAGCAGTGCTGAAGGAGGCGAGGAGCAGAGGCGGTGAGAGAGAGAGGGCAGAAGTTAGATGGTGCTTTCCTTTGTCATCGTATCTCCGTGCGTGTGAACATCCGAGCAACAACACACCTTAACCGTGAAATTATACAGTCGCCGTTTCACCTCTAGGTCATGGTTGTCATTGAAATAAACTGTGATAATAATAACATACTTTTGGGTGTTTTCCGGAGTTGAATCTAATAAAAAATACTTTGCTTGTAGTTTGTCTTTCTCAGACACACAATCAAGGACAACAGAGACTAATTT